CTCTAGGATTGTAATCACACATTAGGAATATGATTGTAGGTTACCCTAGCCTCTGCAGCAACCAAAAGCGGTAGTGAAAGAGTAGAACTCAAATCCTAAGAAAAGCCAGGAATTGCGACTGGTGCATTTTCCCAATATAGTGTGTTTTCCATGTTTTGCATAAAAACCAAGGTAGGAGACAATGAGGTTGAGTCTTATTGAATTGCTTGTTAGTTAACACCCCAAACAATAACATTTCGTCACATTTTTCTTCCTAAATCACAATTGCATATGTGAACTATTCACTTCTTAAAAACTGTTTTAAAAAGCAAAAGTCCCTGAGGATTCGACATTTGATTACTACCAAGTATTACTTGTGACCGTGTGCGGTTGCACAAGTCTCTAATCTTTTTAAAGCTAGAGAAAGTCCCAACCGAATCCCTGCACACCGACCTTTTTCCACCTTGGTTTATTTTCCATCAAGCTCCCGTCCACATTCTTCGGTACGATCATCGCCTTTCAACAACTCTTCGCCCTAGTCATCAATGCTCTTCGCTCCTGCTTCTTCCCCTTTTTGGTGTATATTTTTCATCTCTAACAGACCTTGCTCTACATTTTATATATTCCTTTTGTATTTTTTTGTTTATCCGATCAATTTCCTAGGAGCGCTCCCTCATTTCACTCAACAATCTTTGGAACTTCATTTCTATCAGCAATCTCCATAACCTCGTCACTATCTTGAATAAAATATTCATGGGCAGGATGAACTTGCACTAATACCAATTTGTAAGTATCTCAAATATATTAAAACAAAACACGATAACTATAATTCAATATAAAAGATAAATAATAATATCAATAGCCTTTCGAAAGGGCTATATGTCTCCCAAAAACAATACTAAGTTGTTCACCATATACCATTCCCCCATATCCTCCCCTTCTATCCCTACTACCTCTATTTATATCCATCTTATCCCAAACTAATTACCATACTACCCATTAATTAACATACTAACAATATTCCCCCTATACTCCTAATAGGACTCTCACATTAAACGTTGGTTGTGGACGAGGAGGGATTTGAACCCCGGACTCCATGGTTTGTAGCCACGTGCTCTAATCCTCTAAGCTACAGGCCCCACCTCATCTCCACTGGATCTAGTCGTGGGGGTACCCTATAAAAAGGAACATTTCCTCTCCCGAGCCATTTCCCATTTAGAGTTAAGAAGATGTGAAAACGCCTCTCTATAAGCACGGTAGGTTCCAAGGTGTGAAGTGAGAGAGAAAATGAGAGAAGGAGATTCATAAGTGGGGTTTTGAATAAGACGACTTTTTCATTTCTCATTTTTTTCCATATTGAATATTGAAAAGTAATAAGAATTAGAGGTGTTGAGCTTTTTATCATCCCAGCGTCGAGATATTTGTCCGAAGGACCTCCCTACAATATCGTCGCCAGTCCATTCCAAAATATCAATTAATGAAACGAGTGATATTAGAAATCCAACTCTTGCCCTTTTTTTTTTACGAATAGGGAAGTCCTGTTGTAAATCCTGTGTGGGGTGTCGAAGGGTTTGATCCTTTTGTTTCAGGCGGAATAGCCTCTCATCATATTGTTGCAGGTACATTAGGCATATTAGCGGGCTTATTCCATGTTAGTGTTCCTCCACCCCAACGTCTATACAAAGTATTACGTATGGGACATATTGAAACCGGGTTGAAGCATATGGTTGTCTGGTTGGTTAAATGTTGTTAATAAGAATAGTAATTCACTCTTTTTAATGATAGGGTCTGACGACTTCTTTTTGATGATTCACATTTCGAACAGACATGAATACAACATCTATAGGATAACTTGCATCTTGAAAATTATTTGGCGTTTATATACGATATTCATGACTCCCCTCGATCTTTAATTCAATACCTGAGGCTCTTGGAGTCGTAGCCTATACCACAAAGACCATGGGGAGAGTGTCTCAATAGATTTTTTTGGGCTCTGTCCAAAAAAATGAGTATGGGTCTAATTTTGTTATTATAAAATTGAGTACAAGTCTTTTAACCACTTAAAATTAATAAAAGAAAGAGAAAAGAAAGATGAAGTAATAAATTTATAGTAAATATATATATGAAGTAATTGATTAATAAAATGTCGAGCTGTATATTTTAATAATTATTGCTAAACTGCAAAAATCATGACTAATTATCAAATTATATTGAAAGATTACTTACTATTTTATAGATAATTTATCTTGTTGTACATATAAATGGATAATAGTATTTGGTAGATGATCTACATTTTTAAAATTAAAATTTATATCAATATATATGATAAAATAAAATTGCAATGCCACGTGCAGGGCACGTGTTAAAACATTAGTAAAAAAAAATTGCAATATTTGAAGTTTACTATGTTAGATCCAACATTTTAAACTCTATTTTTTTTCTTGAATTTTCATGAGATAAATATTTTGAGTTCATAACGAAGGTATACGCACTTAATTGTAATATGCAGCTTTCACAATATACATAATCTTTTTACTAATATAAATAAATTACATACAAAAATAAAAACAACGTTTGAAGGAGTAATAGTTACATTAGATACATGATTTTCTTATATTTTAGGGACACTTGCAATAATGGCAAAAAAGTTAACCAAAATAACACATTTAGCAACCACATTTAGCATTTCAAATATAGCAAATTTTTTCAAAAAAACAAAGGTCCAGATTAGAAAATGTCAAATTTACCCTTGGAAGCCGAAAACATTAATAGCACAAATATATGTCTGATATATACTTGATATACCTCTAATATACAACTCATATACCAATGACATACAACTGATATACCACTGATATAACTATGATATCTACTGATATAACGTATATGATTATATAATTTTTCATTTATCAATTTACTTTAATATATGTATGATATATGTCTGATATATATTTGATATACCACTAATGTACGACTGACTTACTTCTAATATAACTTCTGAAATGACTATATGATTTACCATTTATTTACCACTGATATCTGATAACTCTCCAAAAGAGAGTTATTTGTGCAAGAATTCCATATAATTAGCTAAGGATAGCCACACTAACATCCATTCTACAGTGATTTTGTGCAAATAATGCTTTACATTCATTAATTAACATCTTTACTTTATTAGACAATGCTGAGAATTATGAAGAATGACCTAATTTTGAATGTTTTGATGCAGCATTGTTGATGTTGCAGCATCAGAATAAAAAATGTAGAAAAAAACAGAGCTGATAGTGACAAATTTTTACCTGAAAATTTGCTGCAGTAAAACGCAGATTCACCATTAAATTGGGTTGGGTCATGTTTTATCCATTTTGGTTGCCCTAAAATTGTGGAGTATAAATGCTTTCATTTCAAGGTTGCCTCCATTGATTCTCAATCAAACCTTAGAGAGAACAAGATAAGAGAAGAGGGAAACACTTGGAGAGGAACCCGAACAAGACAACAAAGGGAGTGAACGGCTGCTGTTTTT